AGCCGCCGGGTGCCTGGCTCCTGGCCCCGCCGCGGGGCAGCGCGCTGGGCAGGGCGGCTCCAGAATTTGCGCGCGATTTAATGGGTTCCGCCTGCCTTGTTATGGGGTGGATTTTGAGTCTACACCCCCAAAACGGTCGTAAATCCTGAGGCCGAAAAGCTGCGTGTTTTGAAGTTAAGCTTGTTTCTCTCGCCGTCGCGCGGCCCTTGATGTCCCCCAAATTGCTCTCTGCTGACCAGAAATTGCCCGGGACCGGCTGGGCTCCCCAAGTTCCTTTGGCCGCACTGGGCACTCCTTCCGGGCACGGTGGGGTCCTGTCGTAGGCACGTCTCCGCACGTTGCGCAACGAGTTTGTAAAAATGAATGAAACTTAAACTGGACGCCTCACAGAGGCCGCCTCCTTGCTCTGTGCTGTTTTTCAAGTTCAGAATGAACCTGGGGATGAGGAGAGTCTGACGTCACGGTGTGTCCAGCCTGGTCCAGACACGCTGGATGGGGCAGGAGGCAGATGAGGGTTCCCGGGTGCCCTGGGCCAGCTGGACAGCTGCGGAGAGCACAGAGCGCCCGGCGCCTTCCCCTTTTGAGTCGTAGTCAGCGTGGGGCTGGGCGGTGTTGCTGGTGTCAGGGTAGTAATCATAGGGGCTCTTTTCCTTTAAGAGAGATCTCTGACATAGGGCTACTCTTGCCACAGATATGGAAAACAAGAAATCATCCCCCCAGGGGGATGGGCCTCGCTGCCCCTTCTCCATTCTCCTCTCAGGATTTTGGGCGCAGACGCACATGTGCCGGGCTTGAGTTTTTTTGGCTTTTTTGTTTTTTTAATTTTTTTTATTATCATCATAATCTTCTTTATATTACATTGGATTACATATCTTTACAGTGTATTACAATGCTTTTTCAAAAGGGAATGCTATGCATGTCAGTCAATACAGAGACATTAATCTCCCCTCTTCAACATTCAATATCTTTTCTAGGTTTTCCCCAATCAGTATTAATATTATTCTAATTTTTTTTAGAACAGTCAATCACTATTTCTCATTTTGCTTGTAAAAAGACTTTGCCCATCATGAAGTACTTCTCAGACCAATCCAGTTGAGAATACTATACATGTCATCATCAACAGTTAATAAGCCATATCTGTTTCTCACTAACGTCCTGCCTCTCTATTGTTCTCTTGCTATCTTTCTCTATCCTCTTCTCTTCACCTCTAAAATATGGAACGCTTCTCGAATTTGCGTGTCATCCTTGCGCAGGGGCCATGCTAATCTTCTCTGTATCGTTCCAATGTTAGTATATGTGCTGCTGAAGCGAGCACTGTGCCGGGCTTGAGTTTTAAGCAGCAGGGTCTGGGACTCGAACTGCAGCCGACTACATGGAAGTCCAGTGACATACCATTGCACCATCTGCTGGGCCCAAGACGGGCTTCTTACTGTTAGACTCAGGACGTGGTCACTGCATGTGGGATCTAGCAGCCTCAACCCGCTCTCCACTGGCCCGGCACACGTCTCCTAACATCCAGTACACCGGCCACGCAGTGCCGGGCTTCCCGGGGCAGGACTGTGTGGAGACACTCCCAGCGGAGGCCGCAGTATGAACCCAGTGAGCCCTGGTCACCTCTGCCGAGCAGCAGAACCTGGTCCCTAGGATCAGAGCCTAGAACGCCTCGCCAGGTGTCTGTTACAGTAGCCTTGGTTTCTGCCCCCTCAGAGCAGCCCTTCTCCAGCAGCGCCTGCTCTCAGATGAGGGATAGGTGTTTGTGTCGCCCGCCCCTGCTGAAGGTAGGACCTCCTTCATGATGATGTTGGGAGGCAGGGCCTTTGGGAGGTGAGGTTCCAGGATGAGTAGACGAGGACCCTCGATGGGTGCCCTTACCAGAGAGGGAGGACCAGAGTGCTGGCTGTCTTCCTGTGAGCACAGGGGACGGAGGTGTCCATCTGCCAGCCAGGACCGGGTCCCCAGCAGATCCGGGCTGCCGCCACACTGAGAGAGATGTGTGGTGGGCCGGCCTGTGCACGGTGGTTAAGGCAGCTAGATTGCATACAGCCTGCTGTGTGGTTTGCATCCCAGACCCAGTGGTTTGATAGACACGCCAGGCTTGTGCGCATACATGTCTGAAGTCCTGAAAGGAGGGTGAGATGAGAAGGGATTAAGGCACAACCGTCCCATAGGGGGATGCTTTCTTGCTTTCTGTCTCTGTCTTCAGTGAGCACGGGCCTTATAGCAAAAAACTCTTTCTTATAAAAACGGAAGGAAGGAGAGAAAGAGAGAGAGAGAAAAAGAAAATGCCCGCAGGGGCATTTCCTCCTGGGGTGATCTGAGGGCTTGTGTGGAAACACCAGCAGCCCTGGGCATTTGTAGTAGACCCACAGAGGAGAGCTAATAACCATTTATTCTTTGGATGTCGCAACATTAGACACTAAGTAGGACAAGATCCTTTTTGGGAGCCCAGAGACTAGGCCAATACCCTACAGTGGCGAGACCACCGCTCCGATGGAGCTTTGTCTCCCAACCCTCTCTGTGGTCCTCAGCTTGCCCAGAATAACAGTCCTTCAAAGTTCCACGATCCCTGCAGGTTCAGGCTCATCTAAATAATATAGTTTGTTTTTTTGCAGAGAATACTTCTTTGTCTCTCTTTCCCAATCCTGTTGCCTTCCTGAGCAGCCTTTATCTGAGATAAGGCAGGCCTCGAAGGTGGACACATATACTGAGCACGTACTGTGGGGAAGGGAGGCCGAATGCAGCCACACGGCGTCATGTGTAGTCAGTACTGGTGCAAAGCAGAGGCGCTGCAGGGCCCACGGTCTCCACCTGCGTTGCCCCCCACGTGTTGCAGGCCCTGGGACAGGGCACAGCAGGTTCTCAGTGCATGACTGCTAGATGGCATTTTGCTTTGTAAGCGATGACTGGTTCTTGCTCTTTTTCTTTTCTTTAGTTTTTTGCCATAGTGCATGTGCAATGGCTGGAAAGAAGGAAAGTGAGAAATTGCCCCAAAGGGGTTGCCATGCCACTATCCCTCCTCCGTTCTCTTCCTGAGATCTTGGGCATGCATGCACACACACACTTGGTGTGATTTGCAAGCTATGATCAGGGGTCTTGAACCGCAGCCAGCCATGTGGGAATTCGGCACCTTAACCACCATGCCGCCTGCTGGCCTGACGGGCTCACTTTCTAAGTGCTCCTTGGCCATCCTGGTCTCCAGCTAGATTTTAGGCTGAGAAGAAGGAAGGTGGCGGGAACTGCAGGTGGCTCCATGGTGGGGGCAGAGAGGAGGCCTTCTGCGCACAGGTGACGTTCTCGGCAGGTGCAGTTACGGGTGAGCCACGTCCTGTTGTGCCAGCAGTGAGAGCTCCTGGCTGTCTAGATGAAGGGAGGCAGGCACCGACCCTCGGGGAGATGGTGACCAGACCACAGGCTCTCGTTCTCGCTGCAGCCAGTGCGTCTGCCCACAGAGCAGGAGTCGGACTTCGGGTGGTGGGAGCGGGGAGCTACAGGAGACAGACTGCCCTATACTTGGGGGCGGGACAGTAGGGGAGAATGCCCCGAGTCCCCTCACTGCTGGCCGAGCCTCCTGCTCAGTGCGGTCGGGGGGCGGGGGACAGTAGGGGAGAATGCCCCGAGTCCCCTCACTGCTGGCCGAGCCTCCTGCTCAGTGCGGTCGGGGGGCGGGGGACAGTAGGGGAGAATGCCCCGAGTCCGCTCACTGCTGGCTGAGCCTCCTACTCAGTGCGGTTGGGGGGCGGGACAGTAGGGGAGAATGCCCCGAGTCCCCTCACTGCTGGCCGAGCCTCCTGCTCAGTGCTTGCTGTGCTGCTGTAGGTGACGGCCTTTCCTTCTTAGCAGTTTGAACCCTCCCTTCTCTTAACCGCATGCATTGCACTTTTGTTGCTTTAGAACCTTCTTATAGCATAATCTCATGGGGAAAATCTATTACTGGACGGTACATGACCCATTTCTCTCTTTTTTTAAAGAATTACTTATTTGGGACCGGCAGTTGGCGTAATGGCTATGTTGCTGGACTCCCATTTAGTCAACCGTGGTTCAAGTCCTGGACCCGGTGACTTAAACACATGCCGGGCGCGTGTTTGGGGGGGTATGATTTCTCGCTTTCTGTCTCTCTCTTTCTTTCTGGCAAGCACACATGCCCTATAGCAAAAATCACTCCAAAAAAAAAAGAATTATTTAATTTTATTTATCATTCTTTAAATTTGCTACAGGGTATGTACACTCACCAGAGAGAGAGCGAGAGAGAGCCACTGGTCCAGGGTTTGCACCACAGGTGGCCATGCGCGAGTCCAGCACCCTAATCACGATGCCACCTGCTGGTCCCACATGACCCATCTTTTTGCAGGAAAAAGTCTCAGCTGATCACTGGAGAACATGTGGAGACTTTAGTTGGGCTGGTCCTGTAGCACAGTGGGTAGGAGCTGTGCCTAGGGAGCTGGATCCTCTGTGGTTGACCATGGTTCTAGTCCTAGCCCCAGCGGCTTGAAAAACATCCTGGACACGTGTGTGCATGCCCAAGGTCCTGGCCGGATGGAGTGGAGGAAAGGGACTCTGATGGACCGTGCCCCATTGGAAGAGCACACTCTGGCAATTAAAAAAAGCAAAAACAAGTCACTTTTGTAATTCCTTAGTACAGAATAATAGCAAATAATCAGATTATAATGAAATTGTAGCAGGTATGCTATTAGGTAGAATTTGGAACAACTAGAGAAATAGAGAAGTGACTCAATAAAACCAATTCTTTGAAACATTAGAGGTCTTAGTGAAATTTAGTCAGGTTTCTTCACTTTTATTTTATTTTTAAGAATTATTTTATTTAACTTTATTCGTTTGTTTATTTATTTTTAATTTGACCAGAGAGGGACAGAGTGAGAGAGGGAGAGAGAAAGAAAGCAAGCTGCCAGGTTTGGGACTTGAACTGCAGTCACCTGTGTAGGTATCCATCGCCCTTAACCACTGCGCCACCTGCTGGCCCCTAGTCAGGTTTCTTTTTGTTTGTTTTGTTTTGTTTGGGTTTTGTGAGTTTTTTTTCCTTTCGATTTTTTTGCCATAAGGTACATGCACTTGCTGGAGAGACAGGGAACTTGAGAAATCACCCCCAGGGAGATTGGCCATGCCGTGGTCCCTTCATTCTTCTCTCAAGATTTTGGGTATGCACACACACACATGCTGTGTTTTTCAAGCCACTGGGTCTGGGACTTACACCAGAGTCTGCCCTGTGGGGCCCAATGCCTTAACCACCGTGCACCTGCTGGCCCTGACTCAGGTTCTTTCTCAGGAAAGCATTCTGTCCTGCAAGCCAGGTTCGTATTCTTGGGCCCTCAGAAAGCCAGCCTGGTTCCTCTGGTCACGGTCGGTAGGCCTATACCTGGAGTTAACTGAGTCTCAGAAGCATTTGCTTTCATGTGAACGGAGAATAACTGCTGTAGCCAAGAGGGACCGAACAGGCCCTCATCTAAATCCTACTAAAGAAAAACATTCTTTTTTCCTAAAAAAAAGTTATACAAGTAATGAATGGCTGTATATTCTCTCCCTCCCTCTTTCTCTCATATATGTACACACACACACACACACATATCCATATATGTACACACACATACATATCCGTATATG